CTTTTGCATGTGAACACCATTCTTTCTTTGTGAACTTTTTAGCTTATTACTGTTATTTTGCCTAATTTTGACTTGTATATATATTTTTTGCTTAGTATTATTTTAGCCTGTTCTTTTTTTTTTTCTTCCTTTTCTTATTGTTTGAGAACTTATTCCATTTATTGAGCATTTTGTTGATTACACTTAACCATGGACAATTACTCCACAAACAGTAAAAACAATTCCCACTGTAGACTTAACAGAATCTTTCAACAATATCACCTAGTTGGTTAACAACAAAAAATTTGCAAAATGAGGATTCTATCTATACATCTAGTCACACATCAACTTCTTTTTTATTTACAGATATTAATTTAAACAAGTTATCTATTGTACTAACTTTGAGCCTTGTTTTGTTTTGTTTTTTTTGGGGGGGGGTAAACTAGACTTTATTTCTTTATATACCTGTTTATTCAAAATATTTTATACTAAATATTTTCTCTCAGAGTGAGCTGGCCTTATGGATAAAGACTTCAGATAGTTCAGCATATGCATTACATATAAGAAATTAAGTAAAGGAAAAAGCAAAATTGAACATAGGATAGGCTGCAGCCAGCCGAGGTAGTTTCACCCAACACCACAAATTGCTACAAAACCAAAACATCAACCTGAAAACTTGAGTCATATTCTTATACAGCCTCATCAGATCGAGACTTTCAGGTAGATGTCATGTCTGGCATCAAATCTGTTCAGCAATGTCTAAACTATCAACTGTATATAACCATTTCTGGAGAAGATCAATGGTTAAAAAAAGGCTTTGAGTGAGTAAATCCTGAAAGTTTGGGCAAAGACCATCCTTCTTTCAACATTGTGGGCTGGCACTACAGACTGACAAAGAACTGTACTAAATAACAGAAACAAAATCACTTTAGTCAGACTACCAACAGTAGCAACAACTAAAATAGATAGCACATTAACTCTAAGAGAAAATAATGATATAATCAAGATACTGACATTCCACACTACTTCAAATAAAAAGTTAGGAAGGAAACCTCCATCAATATTAAAAAGAGAGATAACAGCTACTGCATTTTCGAAATCTGTTTTTCTGAAAAAATTTTTAAGAGAAATATTTTATAAATTTCAGCTGAAAGCAGTACTGGTTGCTTGGTAAGGAAATGCTAAATGTTTCCTTATAGAGTAACAGCTAATATTAGCATAAAAATTTCTAAAGCCTCTGGGTAGAAAACTGAATTTGCAGTTTCAATTTCTTACCTTGTGAACTGGTGCCAGGAAATCACAAAGAGCTATCAAATAAAAGAAACCACATCACTTGGAAACTTTCAGCAATAGTTAACATGGCTGTCACATGTAACTCAAAGAGAAAATAATGACATAATCAAAATGCTCATATTCCACACTACTTCAAATAAAAGGTTAGCAAGGAAACCTCCATCAGTACTGGAAAGAGTGATAACTACTGGACTTGAGAAATGTTTTTCTGAAAAATTGTTTTAAGATTTTTATAAATTTCAGCCAAATTTCTCGGTCAATGAATGCCAAATGTTTCCTTGTAGAGAAATGGCTCATATTGCTATTGCTATTAATAGTGATTTTAAATCATAATGGGTTAAAAAAAAAAAAAAAATACAAATACTTAAAAAACTCATTCTAGTATTCTAGTATTTCTCAAAAGAAATTGATCTGATTGACCCAATTATCAAAATGAAATAAATTAAGAGTAACACATTGTGGAGCTAAAATTTTTTTCAATGACACAACTCAGTTGATCTATGACAGAAAAATGAAAAAGAATCAAGATCTAAAACAGACAGACAAGAAAACAGCTGGTGGCAAAATATATTTCCCATTTGAGTACCAAATATTCATAGCAACTTCAAACGTGAAATATCTCAAATTCATTAGAATGAGAAAATTGGAGAAAGGTGTATATATGGTGCAGTTCAATTTATATTACAATGAATCATTCATACAAAAAGTAGATTAGTAAAGTTAATGATATAAAATGGCGAAATCCCTTCGCGAACAAAATTTTAAAGGTAAAGACCTACAAAATCACTTTTAGATGAATGCTATGATCCTTGTCTTTAAAAATTATAAGCTGTATTAGGTCTTTCTTCAATACGCAAGTACTTTTGACTGTACATTCAGTCATCTTCAGGCATGGAAATTATTTTGTTTTTGGTAAAATTCACGTAGCATCTGAGATGAAAAAATATAATGCGAAACGAAATGTTTTTTCTGAAATGTGTTATTGATAACAGATACAAACTTTTGGAAATGCTAAGGTTGAATTTTTTTGAAAATTCAAGAGTGCAATTTTTACTAATATGGCAATTTGAGAATTTTTTTTGTTGTAGGAGTTTATCAGTCAATGTGGCATGAACTAAATAGTTCAATAAACAGAGTAATGTCTCAGTTGTTATCCCGAAAATTTGCACATCGGATCAGTTCTTTTAAATCAAATATGTGGTGCAGTTCAATTTATATTACAATGAATCATTCACACAAAAAGTAGATTAGTAAAGTTAATACTTTTTGTATGAATGATTCATTGTAATATATATATATATATATATATATATATATATATTTATAAAACCTGGAAATTGGGCAAAAATTGTTTTTGTTGTGGCAATTATATTTTAAGCCATATAACTAGAAGTCAAGAGACAGAGTCTCATAATATTGATATCCTGTTGTGGTATCTGGGCTTAATCATAATGATTTTATGAACCTTCTCATCACCTCGGTCCTGACACTCAAAATAAAAAAAAGAAAACATTACTGTTTCCAAGATTAAGGTTTTGTTGAGAGCACTGTGATATTTTTTCTGTCAGTAAGGTCTAGAATACACCGACTGCATTTCCTGTAGAAGATTAAATCCCCATGAAAGAAGCCAAATATCAAAAACATGTTTGTAGACTCATATAACCAATACTTACCTATTCCCAAACCAAGTTAATGCTTATAGGCTAAAATATAAGCAAACAATATTTACCTAGCCCTGAACCATATAAATGCCTACAAACTGTAATAAGAATAAACATTTACCTCAGAAGTAAGTAAATGCTTATAGATTCAAATATAAACATCTAATATTTAACTACCCAAGTAAATGCTTAAAGACCAAAATAAGAATAAACAATATTTACCTATCTCAGAAGAAAGTAAATGCTTATAGGCTAAAAGAGACTAATTTCAATATTAAATAACTCAGCAAGAGTTGACATGTCATAAAATTAACCAACCCATTGTATTAAAAAGATTTCAACAAAATATCAATCCATGGAGACAACAAAGCTAACAGCTGACCATAAAGAGACATTTTTTAGGATTGGAACACACAACCAAAAGCACACAAATAATGCCTAATTATTAAAATGTTATTTTTTTAAATTGGTCTATAAGTGACAAAAAGAAAAAAAATCTATTAAGCAGAGAGATTACAAAGAAGAACAATAATTACAAACAACCAGGATATGCCTAAACTACACACACACACACATATATATTATATATATATATATATAAAAAGGAGTGTTGAAAAATTCCTAAGCTGACCCACTTCCCAAAATATGATCAAATAACCAAACATTTTTTTTTTTTTTTTTATCTCTCTTGTGCCTGAGAATTTTTTTTAGTATGTTCTTATATATATTTCCAATCTTATTATAAAAGTAAGGTAGAGGAAAAAGGTAATTATGAATTTTAAAAAAAAAAAAAAAAAAAAAAATTAAATAGGTGGACAAGTTTATCAATACAAGTGTCAGCAATTAACACCCCCCAATTCTCACTAGTTAAAAAAAAAAAAAAAAAAAAAAAAAAAAGAATCATCATAATTAAAAAAATCCCTCCCCAATTGATATAATTTCCTCATCTCTTCTTCCATCTTTTCCCTTCATTGGTCATGCTTAGGATTGGTGAAGAATATTACAGCATTTAACATACCAAACATATTCAACTATTTTGCTAAGGGTTGCACTGTGCCAAGTTCAGTAAGAGTGTTTTTTTTTTTTTTTTTTTACATGCACCATTGTATGGGTGGCTGGTTAAATAAAAAAAAAAAAATAAATAAATAAAATGAAATCAAAAAAAAAATAAATAAATAAAATAAAAATCAAAAAAAAAAAAAAAAAAATCAGATATTATGAGGTTTGGTATCATGATGTTTATTAAAAGTCTCCATGTTTTAATTTTTGTTGTTTGTTAATAAAGATTAAAGAATTAAAATGAATGTAAACAAATCAAATAAAAAAAAAATTGAAAAAAAAAAAAAAAAAAATCTTCATGGAAGGGTGTGACAAAACAGGATAAGAAGAAAAGTGACACCTAACAAGCATCATACTGTGGGAGGCAATCATATATGTGAATCAGTTTCAAGAACTACTCGGATCGCAACCACATGAAAAACTATATTTGTATTACTATATTGATCGATTTTGTTTTTTTATGGCTTATCAACCTTTTAAAGGTTATTTAAAGCCAGAAAATATTTTTAGATTGTAAGAATTTTTTTTTTTAGATAATAGTTTAGTGATACAAATATTACTAATTGACCCATAGATGAGAGAAGAGATTGATTCATGCCTAGTCAGAATTATAAACAAACAAGAAATTATAATGTGATCATAAGTTGGGGGATCAATTCTATATTACAATCAATATATAAACTGATTCCTCACTTTGTGACCATATTCGTTTCTATACATTTATATTCCAGAGAATGAAAATAATACTAAAAGATATACATGCCTGTATAGCTAATAAGTTTTTGATTGATCTGTTTTTTTATGGCTTATCAACCTATTGCAGGTTATTTAAAGTCAGAAAATAGTTTTAGATTGTAAGAATTTTTGGGAGATAATGATTTACTGATACAAATCCTACTAACTAACCTGTAGCTGGGGGGTGGAGGTGTATTCATACCTTCCTCAAGTGTACTTTTCCTAGACTTTCCAATTCCAAACCATTATCCATTGCACCACACACATATCCAGGCTTACAGCACCTGATATTCCCTAGTGGTCACCCTTCTAGGCACTGACCAGGCTCAATGTTGCTTATCTTCAGTGATTGTATGAGAATAGGTGTTTCCACTTGATATGGGCGTAAGCCTTGCATTGAGAAACCAAGTGAGACACTAATGAGATATTTATTTTTAATATCTTAAGAGTCAGCACAGACATTTTAATACGTGAGTATTTACTGAAATTTCAGAATCAAACTGACACCACCCACAGGTCAAAAGTCTTGGAACCCTTTGAACTATTAGCTTAAAGTGTTGCCCCAAGTACAGCAACTGCATAATCTATCCCCATAACACAGGTATATTCAACATGAGAATACAAGTAATTAAGAATACAGGTGGTGTTTTATTAAAATAGACCCAAAATCTTTTAGGAGAGGTGTAGGAAAATATCAAATTTCAAGACAGAGTGTTGTTATCAGGAAATTTCTTCAAAAGTAATATATGCATTGAAGTTGTTGAAATTGGTAGCAGTACCCTCCTGTGTACCCAGATAAAGAAACCAGATAGAATCATTTATAAAGGTACCAGTAAATAAATCCCTACATTTCCAATTGTGCTGCTTAATTGCAAATTTCAGTTTTTTAAATTAAGAATCTTTAACAAATACTTTTTTAATATTTATTTTTAATGGAGTATTTTGTCGGTTCTTTTAAAAAAATGATCATTAACAAACACTTTAATATTTATTTTTAATGAGGTATTTTGTCAGTTCTTTAAAAAAATGATCATTAACAATTACTTTTTTAATATTTATTTTTAATGAGGTATTTTGTCAGTTCTTTAAAAAAATGATCATTAACAAATACTTTTTTAATATTTATTTTTAATGGGGTATTTTGTCGGGTCTTTTAAAAAAATGATCATTAGCAAACACTTTTTTCTTAATATTTATTTTCAATGAGGTATTTTGTTGATTCTTTTAATGCATAAAAGCATTCAAAATCGCTCACTAGTTACTGTGCTAGTAAATCTAGAATCTAAAATAGAAAAAATTGAAGATCTAAAATAGAAAAACAAGGAAACAGCTGGTGACATAATATATTTTCCATTTGAGTTACATGTCCTGTTTTTATAGCAATTTTAACCTTGAGATATCTCAAATTCATTACAATGAGAAAATTCGAGATAGGATGGATAGCACATCTAACTGAAAGAGAAAATAATGACATAATGACATTCCACACAACTTCAAATAAAAAGTTAGAAAGGAAACCCCGATCAATAATGTAAAGAGAAAAGTTGTTTTAAGAGAAAGATATTAAAAATTTCAATTGAAAGCAGTACTGGTTGCTCAATCAGTGCATGTCAAATTTTTCCTTGTAGGGAAACAATTAAAATTATTATCACCATTATCAAATGTGACTTGTCTCAACATTCCGTGCCAAGGTATTATAATGCATATTATTAATAGTTATTATATATACAAAGGTTTAAAGGCATGGAGAAATTATGCCTTTCTTATATCTATATATATATAATACACGGGCCAACAGACATGGGTAGCACATGTAACTCAAAGAGAAAATGATGACATAAGATGTTGACATTCCACAGCACTTCAAATAAAAGGTTAGGAAGGAAATACTGGAAAGAATAATAACAGCCACTGGACTTGAGAAACTTATTTTCCCAAATAATTGTTTTAAGACAAAGATTTTATAAATTACAACCAAAAGCAATATTGGCAGCTCGGTTTATGAATGCCAAATGTTTCCTTGTAGGGAAATAGTTAAAAATTACCATTATCATATCTGTATACTGTGAAGCCTGGAAATTGGGCAACAAATTGGTTTTGTTGTGGCAATCATGTTTTAAGCCACATAACTGGAAGTCATGTGACAAAGCTTAATGAAAAGACTGAAATCAAATCATCAATAATGAGGACCCCACGTCTTCTAAATCGATACAAAAATCAATATTTTTTTATTCTGACAAATGTTGTGGATTCAGGAACATCTGAAAAAATGTTAATCTTGAAAAATTATTCTCCAAAAAAAGATTTTCCCAATTTTTAACAAGCAAACCAGTTTAATTAATTAGTGCTAATTTTTGGTTATCTGTTCATGTTTTTTGATTTGGTAATAACTTGTCAAACACCAATTTTACTTTTCTAGCAATCATTAATTCCACCGGCAACATACCTGATGGTGTATTGCAGCTAGGTGTTACACAGTAAACTCTCGGAAAATTCTGCAGCACTTCCTCATTTACTTTCTCAAGACTTGCTTTCTTCAACATTCTGGAGAACATCTTACAAAATTCTTCAAATTCTTTAACCATGAATTGCGTATCTTTATCAGAGACTATGGTATCTGATACGCCATATCTCGCAAACAGCTCATGCAAGAAATTCACTATCACTATAGATGTTGGATTTTTGCAGTTATAAATTTACAACCATTTAGCGAAACTATCAACTCCCACAAGATAATGTAATACATTGATAGGACGTGCAAAATCTATATGCAGTCTTGACCATGGCATGTCTGTCTACGGTAAAGGATCTATCTTTGTGATCAGTATTTGTTGACCTTATTTATTTTTTTTTTTCCACTTTAAAATCCGCCCTGAATTTTGAACATGACACAGTTTATTTGACATAACATCTGGAAAACATTTTCGAATTCTCCCTTATGATTTTCACCCTGACTTTTTAAATTGGTTGCTTGTCCACTTACATTTTTACGATAAACATTTATCAGCACATCCCAAAGTTCAAATAGTTCCATTCAGTCAGTACCAAATAAATTTGTAGCATTTTTTAATATATAACCTTTAGTTTTATATGCTTATTACAGAATGAGTCATTGCAAGTCTTTTTCTCAAAAAAAAAAAAAAAAAAAAAAAAAAAAAAAAAAAAATCTCACCAGAAACTGAAATCATGTTGGAAGTTCTTTCTAAGAAAGACATTCCAGTTTCCTTCCATGTGGTTTCACTGATTATTAAAATATCACTACCAGTGTCTAGTAGTATTTTTACACCCACATTATTTATTTTCACATTCAAACTTCCTTTGTTTTCTGTGACCACTTTTTCCATCACAATGTGTGTACAAATTTCTCCCTGTGAGAATTTTTTCTTAGTTTGGGTTTTTTGCAGTGTGACTTTATATATCCTCATTTACCACACTTGAAACATTCTGCATTTTTAAAAGGACAGCCTTTTCTAAGATGTAATTTACCACATCTGAAACAAGGATTTATTCTCATTTTGGAAATTTGTCCTTTACTTGTACCAATGCACATTCTTCTTACTGAATTTTTTCAGCATTGTTTCAGACTTAAAATTGTCTGGCAATCATCTACTATTCCTTGCAGCGTAATATTAGGGATTCCTGATAGTCCATGCCTTAAAGAATTTTTCTAAAAAAGTACAGCCCAGACCTTATGAAGGGCTTTTATCTATGTAAAATGTGTTCGATCTTAGGTTGTTTTATCTTTATAAAAAATATTGAGTGAAAATGCCATTTTTGGCCTTAGGTCTCTGGTTGGGACTCAGAAGTAAATAAGTATGCAACAGAAATCAAAGGAGGAAGAAGAAGAAGAAAAGGAGGAATAAGGGGAAGAGGAGGAAGAAGAAATAATAATGATGATGATGATGATGATGAGTATACAACAGAAATCAAAGAAGGTGAAGGTAGAAGAAGGCGGTGATGGTAGCAGCAGAAAAAGAAGAATTATCATCATCACAAAAAAGTTCCATAAGTTGTTTCATAACATCAGTCTAAACATCCAGTTCAGAACTCTACAAAAGTATGTCTTCGAGGAACAATGATCACCTTAAGATATGTATTGAAAATACAAGTTACTGAGTGTAACTTAACAAAACTGGCAATTTTATATCTTTGAAGTTAAGATAAAAGAGAATTATTATAATGTTGGTGTTGCACATTAACATAGTCAATAGAAATTTCATTCTTCAAAGTACTGGTTGAGAATCCTTTATTTGACATTCTTGGGATTGGAAGTGCTTTGATTTGCAAATTTTATTTTTTTTCAGATTTTTGCTATATGAAAAATGTCTGGAAAAACAAACAAAATCCAATGCTGTTTATTAATATAATATCAACATTGAACGTTTCAGTCTAATAGACCATCTTCAGGACATATTCATAAAACATAAATAACATTATGAAGATGGTCTATTAGACCGAAACGTCTGACATTGACATTATATTAACATTAAAACAGCATAATTGCATATTAGGATTTTTGTTTGTTTTTCCGTATATTTTTCTTCATACTGTCAGATCTATATCCATATATTTGCTTAAATACAGGCTATCTAATTTGTATGTAGTATCTATAAAATTGGACAGCATAAGAATGGAACCTAAGCATAAACACAATATCCCTTTACATTTCATAACACACCTAAAGGTAGTTTTATATAAAATTTAATAAATTTTATGTACATACAAATACAGGTAATGACGCTACTCATGTAATGCACACATGGATTTTTAAGTGGTGAAATTAAGATTTCACATAAAAATAATGTTTTGTAGTTTCTGTATGTGTACAAAAAAAAACAAAAAAAAAAACATGATCAATACTTACAAAAATATATATAAATGCAAGATTTTTAACTTTTTTGAATAATATCTTTACTGAACATGAAACACCTGGTAGTAATCTATGAACAGAGATATTGCTGTAACAATTGAAAAACTGGTGGCTACATAGCTGGGCTGAGGAACCTCCACCTAAGGCAGATGAGGTTATTTACAACAGCCGCACATCACCTAGGAACCTTTCTGGTGCTTTCTGAAAATTTCCATTTGTAGCAAGTCATGTCAGCACCTGAAAAACTTTTGGAATTTTGGATAAAGATACTCAGCCTGTATCAACAGGACACTTTGCAACTCAAAAACTTTTGGAAGAATCCTTGCAGAGTAAATGATGGCAGTTTTATGAAGGTCTACAATCTGCAATTCCAATTTTCTCTAAGCTCTCTTTCAATTTCTTTAGGGGATGTTCCAAGCACTTCCATTACTACAGGAATTAGTTCTACATTCACATTCCATAGATTTTTGTTTTAACTCCCTAGCCAGATCCTGCTATTTTTCAATCTTTTCAGTTTC